CTCTAGAAGTCTGTCTCAATGACTGCATGAGGCTTTGGAGAGACAACTAGATACAAACCATAACAAGGAGGATTTGTAGGATTTTGGGTCCCATTACTCTGATCTGTTCCAAGTGCGTGTGTCACATGGACCACGAGCTTCTTGAGAGCAGTCATTGTGTGGTGGTCACTGTTAGCACACTAGCACCTAGGACAGAGTCTTGCATAAAGGTGGGACTCAGGGTAGGGTTGAGTGATTGAATTGACTCTCAGTGCTCTTAACTGATGCAGACTGGAGGACGGATGCTGCTTTGCAAAGCCTAGAGAGGAAAGCACAACTCAGAGAAGAGCCCAGGTCCTCTTGGAGGGATGGAAAACCTCTTTGGAAGAAGGGAGGAGTAGACAGTATTTGTGATAGCACTTCCTGTAACCAGGCCTTGTGTGTGTGTGTGTGTGTGTGTGTGTGTGTGTGTGGGGTGGTCACAGCACCTTGAGCAGCCCACTGTGGCTAAAAAACTGAAAAGCCTGGGGAACTGGTGGAGGTGGTGTTTGTAGACTGTTACTCTTTTCTGCTGTGGGTATCTTCTGGTGTGGAACCAACTCTGAGGATTATGCTTTTGATACCCTTCCAATAAAGGATGGAAAGCAGTGAGGATGAGGATGTATTAGTGTAACATGCTGAGTAATGATTCTTATTGATAGATGAGTATACTCAGGTTTGCAGGGTCTAGACTTGCCACATCTCTGAGTTTCAAAAGCTGTGCCAAAGTGTTTGCTACTTTTACTGCAGTTTCTAGTCAGGTAACTGGTTTTTTTTATAGATTATTTTCCTGTAGTTTATTTTAGATGATACAGATTTAGGTTTTCTGCCAGAGCTATATTTGTATGTGGATACACACGCAAGCACGTGCATGCATGAGGAATTGCATAGGTTGACCATTGTATTTCTACTGGGGTCCCAGTTACTGAAACCAAATTGTGGTGCTTTGCTTGCTTATTTATAGCAAGGCAGAAATGAAGGATTATTTAATGAAAATGAATGGGTGATCTTTTAAATGAGAATTTTTGAGTATTATAAAATGATTCTTGGGGCTGGTGAGATAGCTCAGCAGACTAAAGCACCTGCTTAGGCAAGCTTAGGCAAGCGCACCACATGCTGCACCAGCCCTGAGCCCAGGACAGGCTGAGCCAGCCAGAGTGTGAGTGGAGTGGCACACACCTGTAATCCCAGAGCTGGGAAGGCTGAAAACAGGAGAATCACTACGCGTCCAAGCTGTGTAGTGAGACTCTGCAGCAAGCAAATACATTAAAATGATTCTTCTGCTTGATTTATTTGTAGCATTAGAACAGTCTTTTCAGTACGTAGTTACACTACCACTTTGATTCGTCCATATATAAAACTGATGACAAGGAATTTCTAAAGTTGTGTTTTAATAGAAGATATTCTGGTGCAAGAAACATAATTTTGTGCTCATGATCTTCTTTGTCTTGATTTTCAGCTCAACTTGAACCAAACATTCTATTTTCAATCCAAGTTAACCACTCTCTCCAAAATGCCATTTGTGGGCTACATACACATATTCTTATTCAGGTAATAATCTAAGTAACTTAATGCAGTGTGTTGGAATTATTCGTTTGCATGTCTTTCTCCTTTATTGCATAATGAGGTCCCTTTGGGAGGGATCCATCCCTGTATCAGAGCCTAACACAATTCCTCACTTAGAATAAAGTTGAAAGAGGGGAGGGTCATTATGTCCATTGCCTAAAACAACAGCTGGCTTTGTGGACATGCAATCAGGATTTAGTATTTGAATGTGTCATTTCCAGCTATTATGCTCAGTGAATATCTGCTGAGTTCAAGAATGAGTTTGTGTTTGGGCCACGTATTTCGTAGGCAAAAATCGCATTGTTCTGTTATCCAAAGGGAGCACCTGCACGTGCATGCAAGTCTAAGCTGCGGCTGTGGGTCAACCTGTGGAGTGATAAAAGCAAAATGTACAAATGGGAATTTCGTTACTTATCCATTTTGAATGTGTTACATATTGTATATGTGACTCAGGACAATTCCTTTTCACTAATCATCACCTAGGCAGGACAAGTGCGACTCACAGCCCCCACGTGTGATTCACTTGGAAGGGGACATATGCCTCGATTGCTTTTCATGGCAATGCCCCTGTCCCCACACTGAAACCTGAAGGTGACAGATAGCACATAAGAGTTGAAAGGCAAAAAATGCAGCCAAATGATGAAACAGGGCAGAAAGTGTGGAAAATATTTTAATATAAAACTGATTCTATTTAGCGTCTTTTTTTTTTTTTTTTTTTTGCCAGCTCAGCCCATCCTGAGGGCACGGCTCACGCAGCATGTGGTGCTGGAGATCGAACCGTGGTCCGCTGAGCCTGTCTAAGCTTGCCTGAGCAGGCACTTCAGATTGCTCAGCTATCTTGCTGGCCCGAAAATGGATTTTATTTAATTGTGATTTTTTTACTATCCTGATTTTTGCATGTGGACAGTGGCCTTTGCCTTTTATGCAGTTAAGAAAGGCTACTTGAAAATCTCCTGTAAGTTTTTATTTTAATTAGTTACTCAAACTATTTGTTAAAGAAGAATTAAACGGTCTGGGTGCATGATTCTCATATCTCTCCACTTTGCTGCTTAAGCAGATCCTCTATTTTGGTCACTTTTAGTTTGCTGAAGGGTCATAAATTATTTTAGGGAACTCATAAACCCGGTGTCCTTATTACAGCTTTCTTATTTTAATAATTACCTGGCATTTATAGTTTCATGTGCTTACAATAGTAATATGATCCCTGAAAAAGTAATTAAGAATACAATCATGATTCCCTCAATAATAAGTGAACCATATTTGTTTGAATCACCATAAAAAAGAATGAAGTAAAGTAAATCAAAAAACCTACCTGCTTTGTTGCAAGCCTGCCTCATGGGCTGCACCCCCATGAAAGCCAGGAACAAGAGGCAGAGTGGGATTGGGGGTGGGGCGTGCGGTGGGGGTGGGGCGTGTAGTGGGGGTGGGGCGTGCGGTGGGGGTGGGGCCGGAGAATACACAGAAACACTTACACGGCGGGAGGGAGACGCTGGCAGGATGCCAGAGCTGTTTGAAACACGACTGAAGGAGGCCTCCTCTGGTATTCACTTGCTCTCTGCAGCTGAAGCTGCGCATCCCATTAAATACACAGGCAACTTTTGCCCAGATTGGAGAGGGGTCATTCAAGCAGGTTAGTTTTTCCAAATGATTTCTTTCCGTTGCTTTTTGAGCACTGCATGTATTTTCCCCTTTTGAGTCTTAATCCTTGATAGACTCAGTTCTTTTCCTGCCCTTTCATTTCTTTTTTCTCCTGCTTCCTTCAGGGTCCTGAAGCTCCCATTGCAAATGTTTAAAGTGGGTGTTGACCCTGACCCAGGACGGGTGCACATCCTTCCTTCTGCTCTGTAGATGTCCCAGGGGAGCAGGATGTGCCCCGAGCTTGGCGTGGAATCACATGAGAAACAGAAGTAGGTACAGTGCACAGGAAAGTGAAGAGGCCAGCCTGAGCTAATTGCTTGGGCAGCGGCCTACCTCGGCTTTGGGTGCCAGAAGAGTGTGTGGATCTGCGTGGAGATGGTAGTGGGTGCGTGTTCAGGAAACGCCTACAAAACAGGGAAAACACCAACAGGCAAAGGTTTCATAGGAATAAAACTAAAAATTTTAGCTTTGAGGGCAGAGTCAGCTATCCTCATCTATACCTGTACTCTTGCTTTCTGCAGCTTAGCTATAAATGTCTTCCTTCGCTTCTTCACATGAACTGCAGAAACAAGGATTAATGCCTGTATGCCCGACACTAGTACGTAACTGTTTGTCCAATAGATGAGCACTGTCATGTTTCTATATCTATCTCTTAGTTTGCAGAGAAGGCAGAAGTTGAACTTTAACCACAGTTTTGCCTCTTAGGAGCCCTCCTGCCTAAACCTGGAGTCTCAGTTTCCTCGTATGAATTTCTGTGAAGGATCCATAGCAAAGTGAGGAATTTGAATGGACAGTGCCGTCCTCAGATTGGGAGAGGAGGCATTTATAGCAGGTGACTAGGGCATGACAATACAGGGCTTTAGAATGGGGTTAGGGTCCCCATGTGGGGCCCCAGAGAGTGTGTTTACCCCTCTCCCCTTTGCCCTGTGTGAAGATAACGCAAAGGCATGACCCGTGGAGTAGAACTCTCACCAGAGCCTAAAGTGCTGGCACCCAGAGGAGCCCACTGTGCGTGCCTCCAGGACTGTGAGACATAAATTTGTTTATAAGTTATTCAGTCTACGTTGTTCTGTAAACAGCAGTTCCCACCAACTAAGCCAAACCCTTTGTCAATGGATGTCTCTGTCCCCTTCTTATTCCAATGCCAGTTTTTCACCATTTGCTCCTTCATCCCTCTAAATCATGGTCTTCTTCCTTTTAGGGTTATAGTTTAAGTGGGGGAAAGAATGACTTAATTTTGTAATGAGTTTTTTTTTTTTAAAAAAACTTAATTTTTTTTTTACATTTATTTAATGTGTGTGTGTGTGTGTGTGTGTGTGTGGCCGGCTCAGCCCACCAGGGGGCGGGGCTGGCTGGCATGTGGTGCTGGGGATCGAACTGTGGTCCCTGTGCTTTGCCAAGCTTGTTCTAAGTAGTTGCTTTAGACCACTGAGCCATCTCACCAGCCCCCTGTAATGAGTTTTCATTATAAAAGTATGAGGAAATGAAAAGCAGAATATATAAAACTCATGAAACAAGTTTACAGTAATGATGCCACATAGCTGCAGCTGAACCAAAAGGGGACAAAGATCCCATCCTTCAGTGTCCTCTTCTGTTTGCAGGGTCAGTGTTGCTGACATTCACGTGATTTGGGAGGTACAAGGTGGGAGGGTGGAGTAATGTGTGTGGGGGGCTGCCCGAGTCGCTTGAGAAGCAGACAACTTTCAGGGGCTGCACCTTCTGAGCGCTCCGATCTAACTCCTTCCCAGCTCCTTTCAGGAAGAAAAGACACAAGGCAATGGGTAAAACAGAATGTTAAGTTTATATACAAGAATATAATGTTTATCTGAAATATTTACAGTGTTGGTTAAAGCAATTATTTTTACAACTTTTTAGGTAAACTACTATGTATATTACAGGTAAGCTACAATGGTTTTATTTGCAAAAAACAAGTAAAAAAAATGCTTTAAACAAGACTTAATGTATTCAAGTCAATTACAAAATTTGTTTACTTTGCCCTTTATTTGAAGAAATCATGCTATGAAGACTGGTAATGTGCTTTTTAATAAATGGAAATACTGTAGCCGGAACGTGATACATGCAACTGCGTGAGCTCCTAGTGAGGCTGTAAAATGATAAGTGAATTCTTAGTGAGTCTCCGGCTGGAGGGGAGGAAGAGGTCGGGATAACAGCCCGCTTTATCCCAACAAAGTTTGCAACCCATGGGTTCGAGCTAGAGAAAAATGAAGCATCCTGCATATTACAGCCCCCTCAGTGGATGGTAAAAATCAGCCCATTCCAACCAAACAGTCGGTTAAAAAAAAAAAAAAAATCAGACCCAAGTCACAGTCATATCTATTAAAAATTAGCCTTTAAATGAGCCGTTGTAAATATTCATAAAAATAGTCGTTACTTTATTAGTTTGGGCTTCTCCTTTCTATGGAAACAGATCTCTATTCCTGCAGCATCCTAGGGCGCTGTGACTCAGGAAACGCTGGGATGGAAAAGCGCAAAAGGAAGGAAGGCCAAGTGCTCCAGGCTGGGGCAGGAGCACGCGGGACTGTGCTTGGGAAACCGGAAGGGAGGGTTCCAGCGGAAACAACCCACCAGAAACGGAAATGGTCAGGCGAGCTCTTGCAGCCTCCGGGACCTGGAACTAGCACTGCAGCTTGCGGATGCTGCGGGAGATGCGCTTGAATTCTCTCTGACCCTTTTGCCACCGCTTCACCGAGGTGATCACCAGCTCCCCACCCTGTTTCTGTCCCATGACCAGATAGGGTGCGTTGATGTCGTTCATCTCCTCGCAGGTGCACTGCAAGCTGTCTTTGAGCCACAGCACGGATTTCTTCAGGTCCCGTTCGGACACACCGTTCAGCTTGTAAATGGTCTTGCTCTTGGTCTCCAGGATGATTTTGGTGTCTCTGTTGATGTAGGTTATCTCCTTTACTTTTATTTTCAGCGCTATGAAGATAAGAATGGTAGAAAAAAAGCCACACATTACCACGGGGGAATACAGTACAGACCTGGTACTTCCTTCCTCCCCTCTGCTGTCTATTCAATTCATGCAACTTGGCCTATGGGAGCAGAGATGAACTTCTAGAACTAATGAGACCTCAGGGGCTGCAGGAAGGGTCCAGTGCTAGAGCTAGGGGCAGGAGGTGGGTCCATTTCTAAAGCCTCCAAGAGTTTGTCAGGCACTTTGTTTCAGATCAGCCATCCTCTCCAAACTTTCTGTTTGCAGGACTCAATTAACTTTTCTTCTACTTTCCTTGCCCTTGGGTTTGTGAGTGAGTTGCATGTGGTCCGTGCTCCCCCAACAAATGACTCCCCTGCTGGAAACTTCTGCATGAAAAGATATGCCTGACTCTTGGGTGAAACACGATCCTTCTGTGGCTGTAAACTTTAAACTCAGTTTATTATATCGGAGAGGTTTTTGGACAAACCTGTAAGGAAATTGTATCACACAATCACTGTTTCCTAAAGAACAGATTGCAGGGAAGGAGAATTGATCTTGCAGCTGCATTTGATTTGGTAAAGTAACTAGGAAAAAAATATGCAAGATCCTTTTAAGAGCACAACATGTTTAGCCCAAAAAGTGTTTTTCTGAAGACCTCATCCTTGCATGTGCTCATTCGTCCATCCAAGGCCAAGGCATTCATAGATCATATATGCACTGTTTCCAAGATGTGTATGTAGGGTCATTAGAACGTTAAGGCCAAAAGCAAGAGGTTGATGACAAAAGTCACCTTTTATAGTCATGAACTTGCTCAGTAAGAAAGCCTTACAAACATACATGTTGGAATAAATGTCAAGACTCCATGAAGGCAGGAAATAGAATTTTAAGGTTGGAAAGAGTCATCCTGTCAGTCTTTTGTTAGTACATAAAAAACCTGAAATCCTCAAAGAAGTTAGTGATTTTGCTCAGATCGCCCAGTTGCATTGCGTCTGAGTGTGGTTGGGCAGTGAGCCTCCAGCCTCAGATCTCCTTCAACGCCAGGTTTCTCCAGTGTCCTCAGACCCAGGCCACTATCCCATACAGGTGTGATTTCCTGACTTTGATGGGGACTAGTGCATATTTAAATTAGTAAGCAGAAAGTTCTCTGTGTGTGTTTAAAATTCTTTGAGGTTTTTTCTTTTTTGAAACACCAGACAGGGAACTGGGCTTAGCAAGCCAACTGAGAAATGACAGAAGTACAACAGGGTCAATCCAGGATGCTGTGTCTTTGCCTCCTTGGTTTTGTCTGATCTGCACCTGAACCAGCACACTGAATTCTCAGTGTATGAGACTTGAGCTGTAGAATAAGCCACTTGGAAAGGTCACATATTCCTGCAACCTCCGCATGGTGGATAGGGTGCTGGACGACTTCCACATGGTGGGAGAAACGCATCTGTTACACACGACAGGATTATGTATTGGTAGATCTTACCTGGTCAAATGAAACATTCTTGACCTGGCACATTAGAAAAATAACCACTTTTTACCAAGAGAATATTTAGTATTCATCTTTCTCTAGCTTTAAAATAACCAACTTGGTAAGTACCTAATACAATGGGTAGACATTAAAGATTTCTTCCTTGGATTTTTTGTCTAGATCAAGCACAAGGAAACAAAGGAACAGAGTGACTTTACTGCCCTGGCAGATGTGCCTGCGTATTCCAGATGTGGTGGGAGGCAGAGGTGGTGATACTACCCAAGCCAGCGATACGCTGCATACACGGGAGGGCAGTTCAGGACATTCTTTATTCCTAACCATCCACTTTATTAAAGTAAGGCATTGGACATTTCTCTTGTATGTAGGTGGAGTGGGAGGAGGATTGGCGCCTCCTGGGATGATTCGTGAAATAAGTCAGGTTGCTATCGGGCATGGTGTTGCATGCTGGGAGATTGAGACAAGCTCACACATTTAAGATCAGCCTGTGCAGTTTAGCAAATGAGAGTGAAATGGGGAGAGTATACAACTTGTGCAGAAGCCCTGGGTTCAATCTCCAGGACTACAAACAAGTAAACAAATAAAGAAACCAAGAAACCAACTAGGTCTCTGTGCTTCTTCCTACTACCTGTTACTTAGAATATCCCTATACAAAACACAGTATATGATACACTTCCTGAAATTCATTATCCCTTTGTCACACAGAAGCAGAGAGGGAACAGATGACAAAGCCTGCGAGTGATCTGCATATACGCTACCTCGAGCTTGACAACTTCCTCTCTGTCTCTGTCTCTCCCTTTGCTCACATCTTGATTGGGCATCTTTCAAAGGGGGCCTTCTATAAAGGAAGCCACAAACAATATGCAAGTGTGTGCACCCTAAATTCAGCTGCTTTGGAGTCTGTAACAACCAATATTTTCAAGGAAGTGAGGAGAAGGATTCTATATGTATTTAAATATGTAGTGCAAAAGATATAAGCTGTTAGAAAAAAATGATGGCATAGGATCTTTGATGTAAGTTTTACTAACATAGCATTTATCAGTCTTGCTTTTAGTTGTGTCTTGAAGTGCGGAGCTAAGAACAGTTTTTTGTAAGGCTCTGGTGACGTGGGATTATCTGCTGCTAACATGCTTGGTCCTCTGAGAGTGAGAGATCTGTTTCTTCGATGCTGATGTATCAGCCCCATTGGCCACGTCCTGGTCCTTCCAAATGGGAAGGGTCAGCAAGGGCTTTCAGCTGCCTTTTTTCTCCCCACTTCCTTACCAATTTAAAACCTCTCCTCTTGGCAGGCTACCATTGTTCTAGAAGCAGCCATGGTTAAGCCTCGGGCCCTTGCAGGAAGAGGCCTGGATTTAGCTAAGAGCAAGGACTGGATTCTGAGTTTAGGGACTCCGTGGGCAGATACTTTGGGGACAGTAAGCTACGGAAAGTGAAACACTGCCAACAGTAGGAGTGGGAATGATTTTCCTCAGGCTCAGGATTTGTTTAGTTTGTAGAAATATTAATATGGATTAGTTAGAGGCCACTATTGATGGGTAGGGCAGGGACCAAATCTTTTCCAGTAACTTCCAACTTCTGCCTGAGTAAAATATTTGGAAGAGATACCAAGTCCTCTCATACAGCAAAAAGTGCCTGCCTTGGGACAGGGCAAAGCAGCCTGTCCAGGAGTCTGGGTGACCTTCTTGGCTGCTCATAACTCTGACCTTACCCTGGCCCTTCTTGTGTGTGTAGGGTTTGCTGTCTCACCCAGAGGCCTGAAGGCAGTAGATAGGATGTGGGTGGAGTTTGAGTCTCCACTCAGTCCATTCCTGAGGGAGTTATACTTTATGGAATTTGGGTAGCTGGTGTTGCATACTTTTTATTGTTCCTAAGTACGAGGTAATCATGGCATCTTTCAATGTATCTTGGTAAAGTAAATTTTAAGCTTTTTTCTGTTTTTCCTATTTGCAAATATGTGGGAACTGTGTCTAGAACTTCACACACACACACACACACACACACACACACACACACTTTATAAAGGATTTTAGAATGGTGATTTGAGATTGTGCAAAAAGCCCACATTAGGAAATCATTCTTTTTAAATTTAAGGAACCCTTCCCCCAGAAATTACTAACCAGGGTTTTGGACATACTCACTAATGATGGAGCACAGGAGCCAATCATGCGTTGCAGATAAAGTAATAGTTTTATTTGATGCCAGGTGAGTTTCTGTCTGTGGCCAGCTGTGCCTTGAACCTGTTTTGTTGTTAGTATTTGCAGTCCCATCCCTGGTGTATAGGTCAGGTGACTGAAAAACAACATGGCTCAGAATTGTGCAGACTGGCATGAAAAAGCCAGAGCGAGACTGCAAATGTGCCATGCAACACGGACAATTGCCATAATTTTCATTATCTGCTGCTTAAAGGAACTGGATTGCTTCTACAAGGATACAATTTAATACCCAATTGTGACATAAGGGGAAACAAAGACACAGCAAATTAGATGCCTTTAGGAGGCATGAGCCATGAAACCTAGCAGCATCCTAATGACTTGTACTTGTAAGCTTTTGTTGTGAATCAAACTCTTGAATGTGAAATCTGTTGTTGGTCTGTTACTTACCAAAATCATTTTTACAAAGCGTCTCCATGATGTCGTTGTCATCATCATTCTTATTTTTGCAGGCTTCACATACCTTCGGAGCTAGAAATGTGAAAAGTAGTCAGTGGTAAGTTTGCTTTAAAAAGGAACAGCAGGTGGCATTTGCAAACAGCTCAAAGGGGCTGACCCAGGCAAGAGCGGCAGCGGTCCTGGGAGACCTCTGCTTCTGCTTTCTGGGAAAAAGGAGGGCCACTCACTGCTAGGGAAGGCTTTATGCTTTCTGTTTACAGTTGCTCAAAATGAAAACTTCCATGTGTTGTGTTCAATAAACAGAGATTTCCAAATCAAAAGGAAGCTGTGGGTAGTGTGCAGCTAGTTAGCTGGGACAGGTGGTGACTTTTCAGTCACCTTCCCCACCCCTTGGACCAATCCATTGTGCAAATATTACTCCCAGAATGTAAGAAGCAAGCACGAGAAGATCCTAGGAGTGGTTTGGAAAAACTCCTAACCCTAAAATCCAGCCAGAAGGTATTCATCCTTAGCTGCAGGACACCAGGGTGGCCCTTCTTGTTAGCAGAGCTGCTGGTCACAGGGGTCACTGCAAGATGCTTTTAGGTCTGTACCGGAAGGGGTGGCTAGCGGGTGGCGCGTGGCTGCTTCCATCTTGGAAACAAACCTCACCCGTTGTACCAGCTGCCGAGTGCCCGCCTCCCCTCGGTCTCTGCCAGGTTTGCACTCATGTTAGGCAGGATTTATTGCATTGCTTACCAGCACCCTGGTACAGATGCTCCTTGTCCAGTTTCAGATGCTCAAAATAAACAAAAAGCCATCCCCAAAGTGAACCAGAAAGCAAAGCTCCCTCTGGAAGCTGGCCACACCTAGGAATTAATTCTGTGTTTGCCAAAGGCCCACCAGAGTCACTTCTAAAACAGTCTCATTTCTTGGAGGGGGCTTCATTTATAAAAGTGCTAATGCTGTCTTTAAATTCAGATAAAATCAGATTTTCACTGATATGAAATTGGACTTTCACATTAAAAACTTTTTGTACTCATAAGAGTTATCAAACTAGTCAAGAACTTACAGAGTCAAATATGAAGAACATAAACTTTTGAAGGAGGAAAATGACTACTTGGGAATCGTGCAGTGTGTAAAGTTAGTACTCGTAGTGGAAGGAAACAAATCCCAAAGTAGCTCGTACAAAGCTGTCTTATTTCCCTCATTCAGCCCAAACGAAACATTTCCAATTAGGCGCTCCCAGGATGTGTATAAGCCGTTACTAACCTGCATTGGTTAGTCTATGGTATATGTTGGACAAATGTTTGAAAAATGCCAAACATTTGCAATAAATTAGAAATCTAACCAATAAGATGATTGCAAACTCATGGTGCCTGCCAGGAAAGATTGCTAAATAAGTTTGCATTTTCTTTAACTAATGATGTCTGTAGGAAAACAATTGGAGACCGAAAGGGAGATGCTGTGAAAGCCTGAGGGGGATGAGGAAGCCCCTTCCATCCCAGGGGACTAAAATCAGCTCAGACCTATCATATGTGTTTTCCTTCCAGGAAAGATGGCAAGGGCCCATGAGGTTTTCATTGCTTTGATGGTTTTTTGCTCAGCAACTCCCCTCTGTTCTAAAAACTTGGGAAACCTTTTGCATGATTTTTCTCCAGTTAATTAAAACCACTCCTAAGATAAAAGCTGATCGTGATAGAAGATTCTGGAAATTCCGTTTATGCTGTGTTCCTCCAACACCTGGGCAGTTACAATCAATATTCAATTTCCAAATAGTCCAGACCACTACTGGTTTTATGTCCCCAGCATACATTAGCAAGGACAAAATGGTCACCTGTTTAGACACCCGAACAGGAGACATTCCCTAGTGTCCGCTTGGCGGTAAGAAGGTGCAGGTAGGGGCCGAGTGAGGAGCCCTGGCCAAGGTCCTCACCAACTTGGACACGCAGAGCACCTGCAGGAGCGCAGAAGCGCGGCCTCGGGGCCAGTACCTTTAACAAGAACCGTGCATCTATGAGAAAAGCTACCTTTCAGTTTTTCCCTTTTCTTTCGCCGTCCCTTTTAACTGTCTCTTAAGTGTAACTCGGGGCGGGGTGGGAATGAAAGGGCGAGGGCGAGGGGTCTCCAGTTTGACAAAGGCTGTGGCGACAGCCAGGCTGCGGAGTCCCTCTGTGGCGCCTCAGCAGAGCTGAGAAACGGAGAGGGGGACTCACCTTCTTCCGTGGCCGGCAGGAGGTGGTCGCTGCTAGCAAGGGGGATGCAGAGGTCGTTGTCCTGGGGGAAGCGATCGCACTCGAGCATGTCGGGCCAGGGGAAGCCGAAGGCAGACATGACCGGGGCGCAGCGGTCTTTCACTTGCACGCAGAGAGAGTGGCAGGGCTGGATGGTCTCGTCCAGGTCATCGAGGCAGACGGGGGCGAAGAGCGAGCACAGGAACTTCTTGGTGTCCGGGTGGCACTGCTTCATGACGAGCGGGATCCAAGCGCCCGCCTGCTCCAGCACCTCCTTCATGGTCTCGTGGCCCAGCAGGTTGGGCAGCCGCATGTTCTGGTACTCGATGCCGTGGCACAGCTGCAGGTTGGCCGGGATGGGCTTGCAATTGCTGCGTTTGTACGAGAAATCGGGCTGGCCAAAGAGGAAGAGCCCGGGCGCCGAGCCCAGGGAGCAGTGCAGGGCGAGGATGAACAGTAACAGTGAGCCGGGACCTTGCGGCATCATGGGCGCGCGACCCCCGGGGGGCAGAGGGAGGCGAGCCGGGCAAGCGCGGGGCAGCCGGAGGAGCCCGAGCTCGTCCCGGGCCCGCGGACTCTGCTCGGCGAGGCTCGGGGGTCTGAGAAGCCGGAGCTTGCGCAGCCGGGCGCGGGACGGACGCTGCAGCAGGCGCGCAGCTCCGGGGGGCTCCGACCCGGGGGAGCAGAGTGAGCCGCGGCTGGGGAGCTGCCAGTTTTCTTGGCCTTTTTTATGCAAATTTGGAGGTGGGGGAGGAGCCTGTGGTGGGTAATCCGAGGAGGGTTGGTCCCTACTTTCCTAGTCTCTGGCACTCGCAGGAAGGAAACTCTGGCCGCACCCCCTCCCCAGACGCTGCGGCTGCGCGCGCTCCACTGTTGCCTTAAACAACGAACAAAACAGCGCAACTCCGCCGACGCGCTCCACAGAGGGTAGCGAGGCGCTGGCTGCGGGAGTTAGGAACTGCGGGGCACAGGCGAGCGGCCCCGCAGCGGGGACCCGATGGAAACGCGCGCCTCCCAGCTCTGCGGGAGCCGCGGCTTTGTGCGGCGGAACCGCGGTTCGGCTCTTTGTGTCCTGGGCTGGAGCCCGGGATCTGCGCGCCCGAGCCCGGCTCGGCATGCTTTCTCGCTGGAGCTCTAGGCAAAGTTCAGCTGCCTGGCCGTGCAGTGCGCTTCCTCCTGCTCTTATTACTAGTAAATAAAATTAGAAGTATACGTGGAATACGCACGAAACAGGGAAAAGGAAATAACACAATAAGACTTTCTTAAGAGTGGCTAGGAAACTGCGTCCTTGCGGCAGCGCCTCTGCAGCTCTCACCCGAGTCGCACAGGCTTGCTCACCAGTTCCCCTTTCGGAGAAGCTGCGCCCCTTCAGGGAGTGGGGTGACCCAGCGCTCCACGGCCTAGCACAGTCGTGTGCCTAACTCAGCGACTGCGCAGAGCCTCGCTGCGAACTCCGAAGTGAGCCGGGCAGCCGGGATCCCAAGCTGGAGACCCCGAGGCAGTTCGCCTCCTTGGCTGGAGCCGGGCCTTCTTCCTCCGCGTGCCGGTTGGGGGCGCCATGCTCGGCCGGGGCGAAGTAACAGCCGACATCTGCTCTCGCGGAGCTGGGGATTCAAGATATAGGGCTGTAAACTGGGAAGAGGATACAGGCAAGGGGTGTGTGTCTGGGGTCCCGTTCCCAACCTCCCCTAATCCCACTCGTCCAGCAGAGCAGAAGCAAAGGGGTTATTCCCGTCGAGCGAGGCTCTTTCATATGTAAAGGGGGGGCGCATTGTTATTACTTCCCCGACACAGAGCCACCTAGGGGTTCAGACCCCGGCAGCCCTATTTCCCTCCTTCCGGAGGAAGCTATACCCTTGACGCCCCACCCCCGCCCCAAATCGAGGGCTCCCTTTAGCTCAGAGGACGGGATTCTCGAATGGGTGTCGAGAGCCCACTCAGTATTATCTGCCACGCGTTCTTGGACGTGGCCTGCAGGAAGATCTCCACCCCGAGGGAGCCAGCTTTATGAGCCCCGAGATCTGGCCTCTGAAGACCTGGAGCGGCAAAAGACTATGCTTCCCCCAATTGGTCCTCGATTTTCTCTCTCTAACTTAAGCGCCAACTTAGAGCCCCACAAACTTCAACTGCTTAAAAAAAACAAAAACAAAACAAAAAACCTAAGCGAGCAGCTGACCCGCACCTGGACGCGCAGAGATGCAGGCCCTTGGCCTGGCAAGGGGCGGTAAAGGTCCTTTCACTTTCATCGCCACCATCTCCAGCGCGCCTCCCGGGGGCCACTCCACCCGCAGGGCCCTTAGCTGGGGCTCAAGGAGCCAGAAGCCGGTTTTGTAGGATAGAGCCGGGCTCCGACCCACGCGAGAGAGCTGCGCGACCCCAGGGCATTGTCTGGGGAGCCCTAGTTGCAGCTGTCGCCGCCAGGAGGCGCCAGCGGTCCTGCTCCAGTCTGTGGCAGGTCGCGCGCAGGGTCCGAGCGCCGCTCTCCCAGCCGGCGGCCCTGCTCCCACCGTGGCTAACTCGCATCTCTGCCCGCACGCCCCTCAGCCCCTCACCCCGCGCCAGCCCCATCTTCTTCCCACCTCAGGTCAGGCCCTCCTTTCTCTTCCGCTCCTCCTTGGAGACCCGCTGAGCGCCTGCACGCGTGTGGGGCGAGGCCTGCGGTTGCGAGGTGCCGGGAGCAACTCCCGTGGGAGCTAGCGAGTCCCTGTGCACCCCTCGCTGTCCCTTCTCAGCAGCGCGCCCATCACGCTCTCCTCACCCCGGATTCTTCTCGGTGTCCTGCCGACCCCGAGGTCCCCAGGCTCCTGCATCTGTGTCTTGGATGCCGAGCCAACCAGGGCTTTCGTTTGGAGAGTCCATGCCCATCCCCTTCTCGGCCACGTAGGAAAGTCTGCCCCCCACTGTTGGAAACCGAGGTGTGCGCCCTCCTCACCCCAGCTGCTGGAGTCCTCTGGGACCCCACCAACGCCTGCAGGCGGGAAGAGCGCAGGTTGGGTTTGCGCCCTCTTCTCGGCTTTCCTGTCCGCAGGACGCTGATAATCTAGAGTCCCCTCTTCCCCCAATCTCCTTAGAACAAGTCGGCCGCTGGAGCTTTTCAGCGAGCGAGACCCTCACTCTTCTGCGCGGAGAGGCTGCCCTGCGCCGGGGTCTCCAAGCTCCGAACCCCACGATCCCGGAGCACCCGCGATGAGGAGGGAAAGCGAGGCCCCTACCCTGACTCACGAATATACCGTGGGAGCTTACGGCCGCTTATTTCTGAGAGGTAAAAAAGAGCGACGCATGTTCTGCGCTCTTTCCTTATTTCTACAGTCCAGCGCCAGCCTCGGAGCGGGCCGTGGACTTGGAAACTAGCTTCTAGCCCCAGCTGCCCTCACCATGGACTCGTCCTCTCTTTGGACTGGAAAGTTTGGGGGTTTGGGGACCCTGGCTAGAGGGCACGGAGTCCTGGAGGAGGGTGGTTACAGTCCTTTCCCGAGGGCGGCGCGGGTCAGCCTGAGATCGGACGCTGTAGAGGACCGAGGGAGCCCTGTCTCGTGACAGGCGCCCTGCCACCCAGCAGGTGGGTGTGATTAACATGCTGGAGCATTCAGGTAGTTACGAGGAAACCGATGCACTGAAGTCTTAAGTAACTTGAATCAAACCGCCTAGCAAGTGGCACCACTACGGCCCTGCAGGCTTCTGTGTGGAAACAGGATCGGGCCAGCTCCTGGGCGGTCCTGAACCTCGGATGTCACCAGCAGGGTTGTCGCTTGGCTTTCACACCCTCGCGGGCCCGCAGATAGGCCACGTCGCTTCTTCCACTTCGACCCTGTGAGCCCGGTCACGGTCGGCCCTGTGCGCGTCCTTTCTCGAGTATTGCGGCCGCCTTTTGGGGGCGCCGTTTCCCAAAGCAGAGCTCGTCGGACCGGGGCCGCGGCCGTGTCCTTCCCCGCCGGCTCAGGTTCTGAGGGCCCTTCCCTCGCTTTACTGTGGGGCTGGATCCCCCCAATCCCCGCGCCTCGCAGGGAAGACCGGGCACCCCTCCGAGTCCATATTCCGACTCAGAGTCAGCTCCGATCTGGGGTCGCGACCCGGCTGCCCTCTCGTTTTTAGCAGAGGGAACCTCAAGGGCAAGCAGTGTCCAACTCTTGACCCGGACGTGCCCGCCCCCCACTGTCTCCTCCCTCGCCAGGCTGACTTGCGGGGCAGAGTGCCCTCTCCCCCGGGAGGTCGAGACGCTACCTGCGGCGGGGAGTGCGGACGACAGCGCCCAGGTGGCCACTGGGAAGCTGCCGTAGGCCTGACCGCGAAGGAGCGCGCCCCGCAGGGAGTTTGCGGGGGATGAGTCCGAATCCCTTATATGCCCAAGCCCTCCTTGTCCCAAGTGCATCGAACTTGCTCATTGAGGAAAAACTCCGGGCTCAAAAACTGTATATGTTTAGAGACCTGAATCAAAGCAAGGCTAAAAATTAGTGGCCCAGGAGAACAGGAGGAGAGCAGCCGCGCCGCTGCCGGAGCTGCCGTGAGCGAACAGTCTCGCTCTTCTCTGTCCGCAGGACGCTTTATCTCGGGCAGAGGGGGGTGGGGGTGCGGGGGAAACAGAAGCGGAAAGCTCCTGCACAGCGCGCTTCTCAGAGGAGGCGAAGCTTGTCAGGGAGGCTTGGCTGCTTGTGCGCCTGGGGAGGAGCCCCGTTTCCCTGTCTTCTATCGTTTCTCCAATGAGAAAATGACCCCCCAAACTGAGGAGGGAGGATGGAGCTAGGGCATGGCAAGCCCTGTTTACAGCCTGGGATGCTTCTGCCTAAAACGAAGGAAAAAGCGAATACAAGACCCTGCAGAAGGGGTGGGGTGGCGGGGTGTAGCTTATCCGCCGCCCTCCTCCTTGGGGAAGGAAGTGCCCCCTCTGTTCTGTGCACAAGCTCTTCAGTAACAATCGTTTATTTACAGACCAAGTTTTCAAATTTTCTTTTCTGTTTTGACGGAACCGGGTTTGAACTCAGTCCCTTCTGCTTGCCAGGGAAGCGCTTATTCTATTGAACTATCTCCCTGGCGCCTCAGATTTTCTAAGCCAGTCGTGATTTGTCGAACTTTGGATTCGAAAGTTTGGCTTCTTTGTCGTTTGTGTGCGCTGGCTGATTTGCACTCCCCGCTGTAGGAGGTTTGTTGCTGTGCTTTCTTTTCTCTCCCCTGCTCCCCACCTTTAGTCTTCCTGCGGTTCCACCACTGGCTGACTGGTGCCACAACTACAGAGGGGGAGACTCTTGAAGTGAAGTGACTTCTAATTGCTCACATTAGGAAATTCTGAGGAAACAGCAGACTCCCCGGGTCGTTCACCGAGGGCTGCCCGAAGCCAGTGTCTGGGGAAGGAAGATCTGCCCACTGTCTGCGGTGAACAGCAGATCTCGAGGCTGAACGGTGCTTCTTGATGGTGGGAATTTATTGCCTCCAGGTCAGAAGCCCAGATAGGCGCAGCTGTGCACTCCAACGCAGCAGATGGAATCTGAGTTCCCTGCCCGAGTACCACCATTCTAGAGACAAATCTTGGGATAAAAAGCCCATTGTCTTTCTTAAGGAACTTTCACTTCTCCATACTCCATTTGCATCTTCCTCTTTATTATTTTTTTGGTACCAGGAATTGAACTCAGGGCCTCGAGCTTGTAAGGCAGGCACTGTGCCTCTGAGTCATATCTGTAGCCCAGATCATTCTCTTTAATGTTGGATTTTTATGCAGCCCAACTAAGACACTTTTGTCGAATTCATTAAAATGATTTACTGTTTTATGACATACTCAGAGTAGTTAGTTATAGGATTCACAGTGACAGTTAAATCTAAATTAGAAAAGCTTTTACAAAAGTATATGGCAAGAGTATATCCTGTAATTTTGAACT